GTAGTTTGGTGATTTTTGGATGTCCGATTCAAGGTGAACCGGGCTCGATTCAGTGTACCGGTGCTTAGGAGTAGGGTTTTTGGCCTGGTTCAGGGCTGATTCAAGGCCTTTTTGGCTGGTTTGGACCAATATCTAAGGTTTTTGAACCTTCTAAATCTGATTTTAAGGGTTTTGTGGCCGATCTAATTGAGCTTGAGGTAGTTTTAGACCAGTTTAGGTTAGTTCTAGGATTTTGGAGACCGGTTCACCATAGTTTGAGGATTTTGGAGACTGGTCCTTCATTGTTGAGTAAAATTATTGAGTGTTCGTGAGTCGCGTGGGTCTCAGTGACGAGTAGTGGTGTCTTGGGATGTGTGCCACAGTGTTGGGATGGGAGTTGAGCTGGTTTTGGGTTGTCGAGCTAGTTTCTTATGCTGGTATTGGCAATGGTGACTGTTTTGTGTGGTTTTAGTTACAGATACACCTGAGAAGCTACACTTAGACCAGTGAGTCGGGTGAGGGTTGTCGAAACTTCTTGATTGGCTTGGCTTCTGTACTATGAGTGATGATACCCTTTCTATGCTTCTGTTTTCATACTGTGATTTTCTAACATGATAATTATGTAATTTGAAAACTGTATTTTGATTATATTATATACTCGGGATATGTGTTATGTGTTTTATGAACTATCAGTGAGCTATGTTAGTATGTGATACTAGTTTTGAGATGCAAACTGTATATGTGTATGTATGCTGATTTTGACTTATATGTGAGGATAGTATCGTGTGATGTGAGGCGGCAGGGGCCGCAGGTAGCAAGGGCCGCAAATGTGATATGCACTAGTGTGATTCCTCCGATCGTCGAGACGGTGGATTCCTCCGATCGTGAGAAGATGAGACAGGGGTCTGTGATGTGATGTGTATAGGATGGCAAGCTCAGCCGACAGACAGTAGGTCGTATCGTGCAAAGAGTGCCTTGGCCCGGCGATGAGATGAGTTGTGTGGCTAAAGGCTCATCCGACGAACGGTGTGTTGCCGTAGCGTTTGGAAAGTACACTGGCCCAGTGATGTGATGTGATTATTGGTTACCTTGATACTTCATATATGTGTTTGATTATTGCTCACTGCATATATGTGTATGTATGATTTTGTACTTGTGGCGTGATACATATCCCAACATGCATAAATTAGGTATCATCTGTACTCACTGAGTTTCGCGACTCATAATTTTAAACTTTTCAGATTTAGGTTGTTGTCCTTGTCTCGAGTAGTGTGTTAGTTTTTGGAGTGACTGTCAGAGGATTTGATGGATGTATGGGCACTATTTTGTATCTGTTCTTTTTGTATTCTAGAGTAGCTTCCTTGTACTCTTAGACAGGATCCCGGGTAGTTTAGTTCTTGTATTGCTATACTTAATATATGTTTTGTATCTTTGGAGTTTGACTGGTGTGGTGAGGCTTACTAGGGTCGGTGGACCCTAGTGCCGCTCACGGGCCCGGTTAGGGGCGTGACAGAAGGTCTCATAAGAAGGCATGAGAACTCAATGACTAAAGTAGAATAGGTAGGGAGGACCAAAATGAAAGAAATGCAAACTTGGGGGACTAAATTGAAGTTGGGAAAAATCGACTGGTCCCAATCAGTGAGCAAGTCGATCACTAAATCAATTGGGTATATTAGACCTAATTTAACTGTCTTATTTCAGTATATATATGTGTGCATATAGATTTCAAGCCAAATCCCTCGCTCAATTTCAAATTTGAGCTTCAAATTTTGCTTCAATTCTTCAAGTTAAGTATCGAAATACCAAACCTATGCTTATTGGAAATTCACCACATTTGACAGGTTATTTTCATCAATTGAGCCTTCAAATCCACTCATTAGCTTTAGTTATTCAATTACCAGCTATCAATTGCATATTCAAGATTGAGGCAAGGTTTAAATTTTGAGTTTTTGGTTCTAGGTATAAGTTGCCAGAAACTGAGTCCTGTACCCAGGTTTTTGGGTAAGGAAGACAAACCCAAATTCCATCAGAGTCTTTGCTGGTTCAATCTAGATGAATCGAGTTCAACTAATTCATACTGATTTGGGGGCTTATTTGGGCGGTTTAGTCTAGTTTTAGGGTTTAAAGGCTAGTTCAGTGATGTTTAAAGCCAGCTCACACCAGTTTAGAGGGTTTTCAAGCTAGTTTAAAGAGTTTTAAGACCAATTCAGAATAGTTCAAGGGGTTTTAGGGCCGATTCAAAGGATTTTAAGGCCAATTTAGGCCGGTTCAGAGGGTTTTAAAGTTGATTCAGGCCAATTAAAGTAGAGTAGGGTTGATTCAGGCTAGTTCAAAGGGGATTTAGGCTGGTTCAAAGGTAATTTAGCTCAATTCAATCTAGTTTAAGGATTTTTACATGAAAATAGCTTATAATATATGCAAATAGATTAAAATTTAAGGAACATACAGTCACTATCATTCACAGGCATTTTTTGCACACATCAATGTGTTACTTAAACTTATATTACAGGTAGGGGTGTTCAACAAACCGAACCAAACCGATTAGACCACATAAACCGGACCAAACAGTATGAAACCGAACCAAACCGTGGAGTGTGGTTTGGTTTGAACTTGATATTTGGACAAACCGTATGAAACCGAACCAAACCGTATAGCTTATATATATACAAAATTAAAAATTTTATCTTTATTATATAGTATATTTTTATTGTTTGACTGTATGTTTTTTCTTTTTGTTATCTTTTATGTTTATATTCATTTTAATAATTGATTATTTTTCTTTTTTAGAGTGTAATTTCTATTAGTAATAGTGAAATTCTGTAAAGTGATATAAATATATTTATTATAAAATGTATAACTATTATAGTTAATTAATAAATAATGAATTTATTAAGTTAAACATGTTGGAGAAAAAATGGATGACCAATTTTTAGGAAAATTATGTTAAAATTTTTATAAAAATAGTGAATTTAATTCATTTTATTTTATAAATCACAAACCGTAGTTTGAAACCGAACCAAACCATAAACCGTGGTTCGGTTTGGTTTATAAAAATTTCAAACCGTAAAGTATGGTTTGGTTTGAATTTGAGCATCAAACCGCACCAAACCGAACCGTGAACACCCCTAATTACAGGAACAGAATATAGCCAAAATAGTGGTTCAAATAGGACGAGTTCGTGGAAGTTTAGTACTAAATAGATTAATAGTACTCTTTATAATATTGGATTTTTATGAAAATATACTTATATGCAAATTTGAATTATTTGTGTACTTTGATATAGAATATAGAAACAAATTAGTTTATACTATGCTTTCTAATATGTGTTTTATAATATTTTGATACTTAGTTTTGAGACGTTGAGTAGCAAAGTAAGTTGAATTATTTCAGTAATATATCATGTGATTTTACAATTTTAAATATTTTAAATAAACCGTGAATGTTTATATATATGTATAGTATGAAAATCTATCTGTTTCTACTAAATTGAGTCCAAATGCCATTCATTGGAACTTAATTCTCATTCCATTTTTATCATACAGGTGGAGAATAGGTTTAGCTAATGTGTTGTAATATCTCATCATCAACATCAAAGTGCTCTGAGTATATTAAACAGAGATTGAGCCAGTAGTTGATTTGTATTTAAATAGAATTATAATGTAATTTAGTTAATTCGATATAATCATATTAAACTTGATTAGTAATATTTTGTTTTAGATTAGCTTAAGCCGAACAAGACAGTAGTTATAACGTTTGGTATTTTTTTTATAGATTTTAGCCACAAAAGGGTGTCAAATACTAATCCGGTGTCACGTCTCGCCGGATGGATCAAGAGTGGGGTGTGACATGTTATTAGAGCCCCTCAAAAGAAATATTCAGCATTTGTTGCGGCTTGTTCTCAAGGTATAATAGACAAAGATTACCTCTTATTATAATATAATATTGTATTCAAATAAGAAATAAACAAAAAAAGTTCTCTCCAATTTGTCATTAATGGTTTTAATCTTTAAAATGTCAAAATCAAACTTTTAAAAACGATCTCAACCATCTATAAAAATATCAACTGTTCAAAGTAAGGCCTAATGAGATGGACATCAAAACCTCCGTCTTTCCACTCTTTCCTCTCTGACCCCGCATTACGTTAAGAGAGAATTCCCTTGGTTGCAAGTTATACAACAAAAATTATTGACTAAGAATAGGAGTGCGTGCTTGACTGCGTGCGTGCGTGTGTGTGTGTGAGAGAGAGAGACCGAGAGAGAGAGAGAGCAAAAGGCAAGGGGAACATGAGGGAGAAAGCGAGAGAAATAGTACTAGAAAGCAAGCAATAGGTAAGAACGAGGAACTTTTTACAAGCTTTCCACTTTCTTTTCTTGTGCAATTTCCTTTAGTTTGAAAGGGAAAGGTGCCTGTTTGCCACCACACAAATTCAAGGTAGACCCTACACGGTTGCATTACTGCCTTGGCGTCATCCGATGCATAATTGCAATTTGGAGCTTTCCAACTTGGAAAAATCTTTTGTCCTTCCTCTCATATTTCTCTCTCAAGCCTCTCTACCTCAGTTCTTTCTTTCCTCCTCAGAAAACAATTTTAGTATAAGTTCCAGTTCTGAAACTCAAACTGAGAAATAGAAAAATAGGATACCTGACGATAAAAGAAGAAGTGCACTTTTATTCAAGCCACCAAGGAAAATGGGGAAAACAGGCACTTCCCTAGCTGAGATTTGCCAGTTACATCATTTTAACATCTGGAATTTTGCAACATGTGAAAATGAGAAAAAAAAAACCTCTCACACTCTCCTACTGTCAGTAATTCTTTATATAAAATATGTACATCAGATCAGCTCACACTCACCAAACAAAAAACATAGGCAACTTCCCTAGTGTCACAAAGAGCAAAGTCTATCAACAGGGTGCTTTCTTCATCCCATATCCTACAGAGCAACCTCCACCCTTCCACACTGTTAGTCTAAGCTAGACAAAAGTTTCCATAATTCTTTAAGCTCTCTCTCTGCTATTATCCTTTTAGGCCCCCTCCTGGAAGCTGAGGGACCTGGACAAGGCTGCAGGATTAGCCCGAAGCGCAGGAGGAGTTTCAGGGATGTGATTCTTCTTTTGATCACCCTTTGCTTGGAACCCTTGGAAGAGATCATTCTTAATCCCAAGTGTTGCCCATAAAGAACTCCTCGCTGCCTCATCAGGGTCATTGATCCTTAAAGTTTTTGGGATCAATACACAACTTTGCTCCGAATTCTTCTGCTCCACCAGTTGTGACTCTTTTCCCTCGGGCTCACTTGACCTAATCAAGTCTCCATTTCTGGAATGCTTCCCTAAAGATGAATCCGGACTAGAGCCCGTGGGCTTTTGTGCCCTGGCAGGAGAAGGAGGAGAGATCCAAGGAACACTCCAAGCCCCGGGAAAACCACAGTTCCAATACGGGGCAGGGTAGAATGGCATTGGATAACCAGACGGGCAAAAGGCTGGCACCGGAACAGCAGAATTCCATGGGTATGGCCACGGAACAACAGGAAGGCACGGAAATTGGGATGAGAACCCGTTTATGGTTCCAATTACGGTTTCTTGAAGCCCGTTTCTTACCACTTCCTCCGTGGAATTCAAAGTTGTCACCGATGATCCACTAGAACAATCATCCCCATTCTCTCCAACCACATGATCAACTTTATAAAAACCATTTTGTATCTCATTGGTAGCCCTTTTTTCTGCTAGATTTAGCACGGACGCCATGGATTCGCAAAGGGGCGCTTCAGGCCCAAAGGAAAGGACCGTGCTGTTAGGCTTAAATGCAGGATGGTGGATCCCATTCGGGGCATGATCGATCCGGGCCGCCTGAAGGGCCTCGGATATGGTGATGTGGCGGCAGTGAGAGACGGAGTTCTTGTTCTTTCGGCGGCCGGCGCCAACAGGAACGTTCCGCATGGTGCCGCCAGCGGTCCAGTACCTCTGGCAGCTCTTGCAGAAATGGCGCGGCTGATTGATGTTGTAGTTGTTGTAATAGCAGAATTTGGTATCCATGCTGTTGCAGCGTGGGCATGGCAGGATTTTGTCCGGTTTCTTTAAAGGTTTCTGTGGCGATTGTGGGTTGTTCGGGTCATTTTGGTCATTTTCTCCCTTCTGGTGCTTTGGACTTCCATTTTCTTCATCTGCAGAAGGTGATTTAGGGTTTTTCTCTGATTCTGGGCTTGACAGATCTTCTGTAATTGCAGGCGAAGATTCATCTTCCTGTTTACTGCTCTCAGTGGGCTTTTCTGCTGGTGAATCCTGTTATTAACATGATCAATTCTGAGCACCACTAGAATTTTTCTAAATCAACTATCAGATCAGTTTTAAATCAAAAAAGGGAAATAATTCACATAATTGAAGGCAGAAAAATTAAAAGAAAACAAAGAGGCTTGAACAACTAATTCCTCCGTTAGGTTTTTATGTGGTAGTGGCTTACCATTCAAAACGAAATTGATAATACTCACTGCTGAGTACTCAAAGTAATCTATTTTTGCAATTTGAGTTAAAAAACATGTCCAAGATTTCCCATGCCATTCTTTTGACAATTGAAGTAGAGGGGAAACCAAAGACAAGAGGAAAGTAAGAGGAAGAGAGAAGCTATAAAGAGAAGGGGGAAAAACAGAGAGACGGGGAAGGGCAAAACAGATAACAGAGTATAAGAAAGGAATTTCTGTATCTGTTGCAGAAAATTGAAAATTCCCAGGGGGAATTGGAATTGATCGAAAAAGCTGAAGACTCCGCAATGAACATTTACATAAATATGTGTGATGAAGAAGCTTCCAGAAGCAAGTGCTATAGAATTTATTAGACAATTCCAAAGATAGAAATTTCCAGAAAGAATAAAGCTCTCGCAGAATCTCCCGTGTTTGTATGTGAAATGCAGGGCATCTAGAAAATTATCAAACAATTCCAGGTTAAGGATCTATCTGGAAGTCGCTTATTGGAAGAGAGAAAAAAAAAGGAATCCCTCGAAGTTATCATCATATAAAAACGCTTTTCTTTCCCAAGCAAAAACAGACTGAAATTTAATGAATTTATATAATAGCCAAAGCCCAAAGTGACAATTTGTTTAACAGAAGTGAAAATTCAGGAGTACCAAGCGATTTGCCCCAGAATCAAAGTTAAGAAAGTAACTATGCTTAAGAGAAGTAAAGCTTAATAATACTCCACTTTTGGGGTAAAAAAAGGCTAAATTAATTCAAATCATTGAAATTTAATCAAAATAAGAGTAAGTCGGAGGAAAAAAATACGTTGCAATGAAGTCAATTTTTCAGGCACCAATTAAAATCATTTAGAGGAGACTGAAAATCGAAAATGTAAAATGTAAGATCAACCCGTTATTAGTGTTTGCTCACAGGCAAATGGGTTTTTCTCTAAATTGCAGAGTTTGAAATATTTAGCGTGTATGGAATTGAAATCCGAACCTTGCTGTTAGCTTCAGGTTGCTTTTCGTCTTGATCCTCTGTTTTACTCACTTTATTGTCTTCAAAACTAGCACTCGTCAATGAACTACGATCCTGATCGGACATGTCATCTTTCGCCACGCAATTCCCGGGGAGCCCTTGCCGGGGACCACCGGAATCCTGCCGTTCTCCGCACCGGAATCTTCTTTCCGAACAGCTTGATCGCTGGGTCTCTGACGAATTCCTTCATTTCACACACTCTAAAATCTTAATCTCGCTCTCTCTCTCTCTCTCTCTCTCTCTCTCTCTCTCTCTACAAACTCTCTATCGCTGTGTCTTTGTTGGCAGCGTCGGGGTCTGCGATTTTGATTTGTTTAAAGTCGGGTGTGGGGTGCCACGTCACCTGGGGAGTGATTTCTCATCCACAAGTTTTTGTGGCCTTGAAATCTTCCCCACAAACTAGATTCTTTTAAAGTGTTGCACAAAAAGTTGGTGCACCCAGCTTTTTGCCTGCTTTTCTTCTTTTTGGCTTTTAATTTTATTTTAACTGCAGTCGGGTAGTTGGGTGTATCGAACTCTGGTATCATCATTAACGTCTGGTGTCGTGGCAGAATCGGATTAGATGCTATTAGATAGAGCTGTACTTCCATGCTGCGTTTTGTTTCCTGTCAGGCTTCTTTTCGTATTGGTCGTGGCCAATGACTACAAGCCACGTGTTATTAGGATACTGCTTAGGCAGGCCGCCGTTTTAACGACTAACGACTTAGGTCTACGGTGACTTTTGGCTTATCCTATTCTATCTAATACTTGTAATCCGGTGTTCTATAATTTTGTCACTTATCCTGTTTCCTAAATAAAGAAAATCCATTTGAATTCTTATCATATTTGATCTTCTCATAAATTATTATTCAAAAAGTCAATTTTAAACAATACAAAAATGAAAGAAATAAAATATAATTTTCTAAAATCATTTATTAATGTTATATAATTCAATTAATTATGTTTTTATTTAACCATTATTCTCTGATGTAATTTACAAATAAAATAATAAAAATCAAAACAAGCGCGTAATTTATTTTCTTAAACATTTTAAAAAAACGTTAACACAACTGGATGGATAACCTTAATTTGGGGGATTTATTAGACAAAAGATGTGATATGATAGTTATTCAATTTATTGGTTAGTTAATGTACTACACAGATGAAATGACATGAATACCCTCCGTTACATTTAATTTTTTTGTGCGTTGCCGCCTACCCGCTCGACATGATTTTTTGAATGCGTGCCTCCGCAATCTGGTACAAAAATCGCGTATTTAATTTTTCTTTTGATCTTGTAGGAGGGTTTTGTCCTAATCCCAAGGGTAGAAGGTGATAGAATGAGGATGCTGATGTCAGAAATTTAAAATATTTAATAATTTTATAAAGTGTGAAAAAGAAAAACATAAAATAAAAAATAATTAAATTGATGTATCCGATTTTTATCAAAATTGACGGAACATTTGCACCGGATAAGGTAAGATATTAAGGTGGACAAACAAAATTTTCACTGTTGGAGAGGTAATTGGATATGTTAAAGACCCGTTTGGACAATTTTTAAAAAATATTGTTTAAGAAATGATTTTTATAGAAGTGCTTTTTAATTATTTAGATATAAAAAATAAAAGTATTCTGTTTATTTTGAAAATCTTATATACAAATAGGCTTTTGTTCACTTTCTTTATCAAAAATAATTTTTGTTATACATATGAAAACAACTTATCCAAACAAGGCCTGAGGCCCTAAGTGAAGTACTCAAAACATTTTTCCATTGGATGAAGATTCGATGGTTAGGAACTTTTCCCCAACCCGAGGCGGGAGTTAAGATTGGCTTATGATCCACGGCGGAGGGATTGTCAGTCCTCCTTAACTATTTATTTCCACAACGACCAAACATTGAATCAGAATCTCAATCCCCGAACTAGATTCCAACATTGCGCCAAACAGAGAACTGTTGAACCAAAAGAGAAGGAATATAATCCCTTTCCCCAGTTCTCCAATCAAACCAAGCCATGGCATTATTCCTATTAACGAAATTCCCGAACCACGATAAATGAGCCTTTTTTTTTTTTTAGATATATGGTAGATTTATTATCTATTTTATTTTTTATAATTAAACGACATTAAACAGAATATTAAAATAAATTATCATAAAAAATTTTTAAAATATTCCTATATAATGTGAAAATATCTTAAATTTTTACTTTTTGAATAGGTGACTAAGATATAATTTATTGATCCAAAATTACATTACTTTTTAAACACATGTGACATTTTGTTAATTAATCCAAACATTGCACTCTAATCCATTTATAATTTCACAGTCATGACCCGCGGATCACATATTTTTTACCTAAATTTAAAATAATTTAAAAATTTTAAGTTGAATTATACCTTGAAACAAGATACTAAATAAATTTATTTTAATATTTTATTATATTTTTTATATTGTCACGTAACAAATAATCACTACATAATTGTAAAAATTATTATGACATAATAGGAAATACGTTGCATAAATAAAAATATTAAATTATTTTTTAATATTTAAATAAATTTACCACGTAAAAATTGATTTGCAGTTGAATTCTATCTTAAATGAATAGGGTTAACAGTTAGAATTGAACTATGCAATAACATAAACCCAAATCCAAATCCAAAAGGATCCAGCCTCAACCCCACTAACCTCACCCCACCCATTTCCCTACCATTAACTATAAACGGCCTAACTTAATTCGCTTACTGTGTTGGCTTCCTAATGTCAGCATTTCAATGGGTAAACTAAGGGGGGTCCAAAATCTTCTAGTTTTGACTGAGGGGATTCTAATACTCATATCAAGTTATTACTTGAAATATTCTTGTAACTGGCCACTACTTTTGATAAAAATTTCAATTTCTATTCCTTATTTTGTTATAAATTTTGTCATTAAACATGTGATTGATTATTTCATATTACGCAGTTGATAAAAAATGTTTTAATTTTTCACATTTTTGACCTAAAATATATTAATTTTGGATTAAATTTGGTTTGCAAATACATTGAATTTCAAAAAAATAAAAGAGAAAAAGATCACTTAAGACTTACAACAAGAACTAAAAGTAAGTTTATTTGGTATTTTATTTGAAATTTTATATTATATATAAAAATATACTAAAATAAAATTTATCAATTTCTTATTTTTTCCGGATTCAATAAAACATTCTTATTTTGTTACTTAAATCTCACTGATGGTGTTGAAATTTTCCGAAAAACATAAGTTTGATATTATTCTTCTTTTTTTTGTTTTGGTTTGCAAAGAAATGTAATTATAACAATTAACAATGTCATTTGATTGCTTCGGATAAAAGAATAATGCCGTTCGATAATAATAAATGACCATATTGTTTGTGCGTTCCACTTGTCGCATAAAGAAGAAATTCATTGTGCCGCTGTTAATTTATTAGGTTAAAATTTGTTTTTTTAATATATTGTATGAATTATATTTTTAAAAATTTTAAAATTTAAAAATATAACATTTAATTGTATTAGATTTTTAATTAATACTAAAAAATTAATATTTAAAATTTTTAATACTTAATTTCCCTTTATAGCTTGTTTGGTAATATAAATAAAATTTTAAATTAAAAGCATTAAAATAATTTTAAATTAAGTATATTCGGTAAATTGACAACAAATGGCTCTCAATTAAAAAAAAAATTCTACAAGATCATGATTATCAAGGGCATGACTCGTGACTGGGCATGTGAGCCACGAAAAATTACAAACTCACAACAACATTTCGGTGGTCTGACAAATCAAACACGCCTTTAAGTAGCTTCCAAGTCAAGAGTCAACAAGTAATTAATTACGTATCCTTCCTTTTGTAAAGGGCAAAATGCCTCAATTAATGACTGCCCTGTCCCTCAATCCGGGACTCCAGGGTATTTTGTCCTAAAAACTAGTGCTTCAGAGTTTAGATCACCGTTTGACGATTTAGCCTATTTTAGACAAATATGACAAAGAAAATTGGAAAAAAAATAACCAACAAAAAATAAATAAATAAATTTATTTTGAAAATTAAAAAAAAAAAATTCCTTTTTTTCAATTATTTTGAAAATTAAAAAAGAAATAATTGCATATATTATCTTAAGATAGTTAATAAATAAGATTTTAATTTGAAATTGATTTGAATTTGATATAAATTTCAGAGTTTGAATTCAATTAAAATATTTAACCAATCTGATTCGACTACAAATATTTATAATATGATATAAATGGATTGGACATGAAAAAATAATCTGATGTATTGATAATCTGAATATAAATTTTAATAATATTTTAATTAATTTTATAATCTTATATATATAATATTAATAAATTCAAAGTTACAAGGATTAAATTCAGAAAATTATAAAATTTAAGAATTAATATGTGTCACGTCCCGAACTCCGGCTTGTGACCGGCAGTAGGGTTCATCGATCTTAGTAAGTCTCACCAATACCAGTCAAACTCTGAAGATACAAAACATATATTAAGTATAATGATATAACAACTAAAACACATGGATCATGTCTGAGAGTACAAGGAAGTTACTCTAGAATACAAAAAAAACAGATACAAAAACAGTGCTCGTACATCCATCAAATCCTCCGACAGTCGCTCCGAAATCAGCACGCTACTCGAGACGAGGACAGTAATCCAAATTTGAAAAGTTTAAAATTATGAGTCGCAAAATCAGTGAGTACGAATGATACATAATCTATGCATATCAGGATATCATCATGCCAGAAGTTCAAAACCATATGTATACAGTGATAAATAAAACATAACAAACATACACTTAAAAATACCGTCAACCAAATATCAAATTACATCACTGGACTCAGGCCTACCCACCACTAGATGCTACGGATCATTGCACTTCAGCCAAGTTCCTACCGTTCCCTCACGGACTCAGACCGACTCATCATTGAACATTACGGATCACCGCACTCTAACCGAGTTCTTGCTGTCCCCAAATCACAGCACACCACACGATACCATCCCCACATACAAGTAAAAAATAAGTACACATACGCATATACAGTTTATGTTTCAAAACCAGCATCACAT